ATAACAAAATCTGGCGTTTCGATCAAAAGCTGAATATCGTGCTTTTATAGTTGCCATTGCTAAAAATCAAACATTACTCTGATGCCAATTTGTTATGTAAAATTGAGGATAGACAATATAAAAGTAATAATAATAACTCAAGATTTACATGAAAAAATATATATAAATAACACATGGGGCTCTGCCGCACACTTCGTACGAATCAGAGGTAGCCTACTAATTGGGCTGAGACCACTATCGCTACAAACCCTTTTATTTTCATAATTTTAATTTCACCACATATGTCACATTGCAAGCTTTTAGAATTTAGATCACTGTACTCTAACAAAAAATGATATATGTAGACCCCTTTTTACCCATCTAGACTTACCTATGAAAAGTGTAAATTGTGATAAATCCTTTAGGCGTGTTAGGTTTACCAGTTTGCCAATGCTTTGCTTGGGCCTTTATCAATTTGTATTGAGCCATCTAAGCTAGTGAGGTATACATGAGCTAGCCCTTTTATCTATTTTTTAGCTTTTCAGAAAATCAATCAAAGAAGAAACAGACAAGTTAAATAACCTAAGAGTTACATTAGCTCATCCTAGTCTAGACCCATAAGCGATCAGCCTATTGGTAGTTCGTGCTACTTCATCACAAAGTGGCCTACTCGACTACTTTTATGCAAAAATCATACTGAAAAATGATTTTTATGTTTCCATTTCAATAATCAAGTAAAAAGATTTTTCTTTCAAAAAGTAAGTGCACCCACGCACTCCATACACCCACCCCACACTAAAAGTATGTGACCATCTATTTTCACTTTGTAATCCCTCTCTTTCTACAAATCCAGCCGCCTACTCTCTCTCTATCTCTCTCCATGTAAAGATTCCTCTGTTGCCACCACTAACTTCGAGCACCATCCTCGTCGCCACCCATTTGTATAACGTCCAACACTCCACCTACTACCTTGATAAATATCTTCTTCAACTTTCCTCTCTCTCCTCGTAGCCGCAAAGAAACTTAATGGTGGTGGTTTCACGATGTCATGTTAGTGCAATGGATGGTGGTGCGCTAGATGTTATGGTGCGTTGATAGTTGTGTAATAGTGGGTTGTGGTCTACAGATCTACGTGGTGGTGGT